TTTATGTGATATCAACGCTCGTGATTTTAAAAGTGATTTTATCCTGGTTTATTGAATATTAAAAAGAAATCGAATATCGTTTGAGAGCGTTGCGATCGCCAAGCAAATTGTAGCCTAAGTGACAATGAATCTGGTTCGAAACCGATGATTTCAACTTTTTGGGATGAACTTTCTTCCTTCAGGTACCTGCGAATGAAAGCGAAGTGTCCTTTTCGATGCGACGTGCATCGATTCTTTGTGATGCGACATGAATAGAAATAAAATAGGGGATGTTCAGGACCAGCCGGAAATACCAAAAGCAGAACAGATGCTGTCAACCACTGTGTAGTAGTGCATATTTATGTGCTGCATTTGCCAATAGTGACCATAGTGAACGTAAAAATTCGCAAGTTGGATATACGGGCTGGTTGCACTAAAAATGCAATTTTTTAGATGACATATTTATTATTATTAATATTATTATTGCACGTTCAATAGCGATTTGAGGAAAATTCGATTTGTTCGTGTTTGTCAAATTATCTTAATAAATCATTATGTTGTGTATCGTAATAATTTTGTGAGGAACATTATGGTGTGTACCGCAATAATCCTGTGAGGAATGTAAGGCAAAAAATGCTTGCAATATGTGTATCAAATGTAAGATCATGGAATATGGTATCGCATGAAATTGTTCATCATCGTGTGTCATGCATGATAATTTTCGACTTTTCATGCAACTACTTCTTAAAGTGATGCACACTTTATGTCGTCTCTTGTAGAAAATAAAAGAAATATAAATATAAATTAAATAGATAGTTAATATAAATCAAATAGATTCATTATATAATTTCTTTTAAAATCATAGAATCATATATATAAACAATTTTATGTTTTATTATCGAGAAAACTGCTTATTCAATTTGAGTTTCATGGCTTTCAGATTGTGTTTTCCAAAAATTTTATCATTTTGTCACTTTATCACTTTATCTAATCACTTTTCCTCTTATTGCATTCTGCGATACTCTTATAACCATTAACATAATTATCTTATACGTAATTGCACACACATATACAAAATATAACTTATTGTTAGTTTCTTCAGGCATATTTGCACACTCAAACAAATAATCATGAGCGATGTAAATTCGTCTTGAGAGACATATTCGCTTTGCGTGCAAATGTGCGTACATGAGTTTGAATCTAAACTTGAAGAAAAATGAGAACAAAAATTGTCACAATTTTGATATGCAATTATTATTTTTCAAGATTGACTGTACCAATCTTAGTCGAACTGGGGCCATATTTTTGAAAAATATCGCATACGATATTTATCATTGCGCAGTTATTTTCCGATACGTTTTAGCTGTGCAATGACAAATATCATATACGATATTTTTCAAGAATATGGTCCCTGGTCGCAATTAAAAGTGTATCTATATTACATTAGAAAAATTTAAATTTTTGATTACGGTTTAAGTTCTTGAAATATCTTATTCGAAACTTTATTAACTTAAGATTTCAGATAAGCTACTTGGTAACACTGCGGCCCTTGTACACAAGTAAGGTCGCGATGCTAACGCGTCGTTGTTTGAGAATTTTTAAACAACTATAAATAAAATAGATTTTGCTTTTCACAATAGCTTGTATTTTTAAAAAATATCGATAATAATAAGATTTAAATTAGCAAAAAAAAAGAAATAGTGGCAACGGTACATGGTGTTCCCAAGCGGTCACCCATCTAAGTACTGACCATGCCCAACGTTGCTTAACTTCAGTGATCGGACGAGAACTGGTGCTTTACAACGTGGTATGACTGTTGCCGAAAGTAAGGGGTTCAATTAATGCAGATATAATTAATTTGAAAATTTCGAGACTTATATAGATATAGTAGATTATATCATCACAATAATTTTAGCATGTATTTGGAAAAAAATATTGATATTAATAAGATTTAAACTAGAAGAAAAAAGAAATAGGTTTTAGTTTATGTATCGTAATATGTATTCTAAAACTGGAATAATTTCATGTATTTCGAATATAAAAAAAAGAGAAAAAAAACATACTGCGGTATAAAATTCTTCCTAAACTACAATTAAGATTTTTTTCAAATATTTTATTGTTATACAATTGATATTTAGTTTCGAGATATGATATCATTAATAATTGATGCAATTTATGGATATCTAACTCGGAAAATATATATTCTTCGAGAATACGCATAATTTGCTTTGATTCTGTTTCATTCCAGAAATTATCATCAATATTGTTATCTCTTCAAAAAGAAAATTGCTCTAAAGTCGCAGAGCAAATTGAATGAGCTGGATATTTATCTTTCAGACGAGATAGTACTGTCTGCGCTATTTCATCTAACCACGATTTTACAGCCGAATAAGATACATGTGGTTGAAAATATTGCGCCACAATCGTAAGTTGTTTCTCCGAAAGCGATTTTGTCTTCGGCAAATTCATAAATTTCATTTGCTTATGTATAAGTCGATACTGTTTCAGATAGCAATAAATCAGCTTAAAGTTATAGTCACGTGTCAAATTGGAAAACAGTTCGCTGAAAAAAATTTACATATTAACTATACAATATATACATTAATTGATAATGTCAATAACAATTTAGTTTATTGAATATTATACCATGATTTTTGTGCAAAAATTTTATTTATCCCATCCTATACAAAATAATACGTCATGGACTTTTCAGCAATTAAACGCAGAAGACGCTCCAATTGTTTCTTGTTAATATCACGAAAATTATTTTTCGACATCACAAACGCATAATATTGTAACTTTTGGATACAATATAATCCCGTTTTTATTTTTTCTTTGAAATCGATATGGTGAAATATTTTCTTCTGTTTTTCTTTGTTATACTTGAATACTATGACCAGAAATGCAAAAAACGGAAGCAGCCAGTCACTGTGTAGTAGCGCATATTTGTGTGCTGCTTTTACCAGTAGTGACCATAGCAAACATAAGAATTTGTAAGTTGGATACTAATAGATTGCACTAAAAATACAGTTTTTCAGATGGCACATTTATTATTATTAATATTATTATTGCACGTTTAATAGCGATTTGAGGAAAATTAGGCACTTCCCGAAATATTTGTTTGTCAAATTGTCTTAATAAATCATTATGTTGTATATCACAATAATCCTGTAAGGAACATTATGGTGTGTCGCAATAATCCTGTGAGGTATGTAAGGCGAAAAATGCTTGCAATATGTATCAAATGTAAAATCATGGAATGTGGTATCGCATGAAATTGTTCATCATCGTGTGTCATGCATGATAATTTTGAAACATATTACATGTAATACTATTTTATGCTTACGTTACTCCAAAAGAAAAAAATTCCGAATTTTATTGACACGATAAATTTACAATTGGTAGCGGTTGATAGATGTATCTGAGTAATTGCACGAGATAATTTCTGAGATAAAGATCGTAGAGAAGCAACGGTACTTTAAGCCCGGCCGTGCTTTGTTTCCTTTCCAACTCTTCGCTCTATACATTCCATTTAAAATATAAAATATCGTTTTTATATATTCCAGATAAAAAACATACACATACTACATTACCTGAATATAATTGGCTGCTACAAGAATGGTATTTTAACCGTGAATCTTACAGATTTCAAACTTGAGCAGGCGAGCATCGATAAAAAATTAACTCCAAGAAACGTGAACACGTGACACAAAGCTATCCTTAGTTAAAATAATAAATAATATCATTGTATAATTTCTGCAAATTATATACGAGATATATTTCTAAATACTATTTTAATTCATTCAATTTCTTCTTGAAAAGTTTAAAATGACAAAAAATACTTTTAAAAGCTTTTAGAGCAATAAAAACTTTGTTATTATGAAGTAAAAAATAATGTTAATTTTGATATAGTTTTTCTTTTTTTTTAATTTTAGTGTTGAATATTATATGCAAAATTATAGTACCAACAAACAATCGAAAAATCTGTCTGCTCGACGATATTACGATACTCTGTCAGAGAGCGTGCTCTCGTTTGAAATTGCCAATACGTATGTAGCAAGCAAAAAGATAAAAGATTTTTATAATCTATAATCTATATTATCACGAAGTTCAGAATTACAATAAGAACAAGAAACCGCTATTCGTAAATTTTATGATAAAATATGAAAATGATAAGAAGATTGTAATATTATTTATAAATTCTAAAGAAATATTTTTCTTGTAGTTAGAAACAACAGAAATGAATAATGACAATATTTTCAGCGACAGTCAGATGTCTCTGTCACTTTGTATCTCACAAAAGATCTTACCTTTTTCTTGTCGAGTTACTTTTGAATTATTTATTCCTAACAAAAGCAAAGCATAAGAAGAATAGCAGTTACATAAAATAATGATGAAACATTAGCAAAACAGAATTGTTGGTGTACCCATATAAAGAATGTAACATGTTTAACCGGAATTTTAATGAATCTTTAAAACAATTATTATAAGACTGTCCCGTCTTATTGAATCATTTTGTTCGTTGAAATTAGTACAATTATTTTTTTAAATATGTATATTCTTTTGATGTAAGATACAATATGAAATTACGCAATTAATAAAAAGCGCGTCACATAACTAAGTTTTGCGGCTGTAGTTATATAAACGAGCGTTACTGATCACTTGCATCATTATCGGCATATATCTAAAAAGCAAATAACAAATATTTTCTATCGTAAAGAAACGTAACGTTACACCAAATGAAAATATAATGACATAAATTAATTTATTACTAACAAGCCGCCTGAAAAGATCATGTGAAAAGGTATAAATAAAGGAAAAATAAGCATACCGTAAAAATTAAGTATATTTATGCAAAAAATTATTTTTAATAAAACATATATATAAGTGCTAATACAGATAAATTATAATTAAAATTTTAATAAAATCCTCGTTCATCATTCACACCACATATTTAATATTTAAGCAATTATCACTAATAATAAATTAACATTTACAATTTTGTCATTTTGCGTAATTTTTAATGCAAAGTTATTTATTATTTTGTTACTTGTAAGATTTTAATTAAAGTAATAGCAATTTTTCAGTTGTATAAGAACGATCGATGATATCAACGTAACGTAACGCAATGTCTAATGATTGAGCATTACGTGTCATTACGAAGATTTATACATATGCAATAATCGCGATCATTTGCCTAAAAATACAAATGTGATTACAAAATAAAATTTAGCAACAATACGAGATATTACCTATGTCAGAAGCCCTAATCAATGTGAATTTGTTTAATCATTCGTAACAGCACGCTGATTCAGCGCTCTTTTGACGTACGCTAAACAACACATTACACATTATATCCTGCAGACTTCACCGTTCGTTTTTAGTACAATGCAAGTAATGCATACAAAAATTTTATCACGTATTTATATCATAACTGTAAATTATTTGCAAATTGGCTTTCAGTATAAAATTAAACAAAATTATTTTTTGGATCAAAGTCAAAAAAGAATAATAAACTAACAATATAATTTAGCAACGTGGAAACGTAATTCGACACATTTAGCCTGGAAAATATCAATTATTTGTACTCATAAATTTCTGCAATATATTACAATCCGGTATGTACTCGAAAAAATACACATTGTTTAATCGAATATTGTTACGCCATACGCAATACAATAATTTGAAGTCTTGTCTACTCGAAAATTGTTATGTATAATCTTTATTGTCTAACAATCATATTTTCTTTGGCAATCGGTATCATCTTCTATCAAACGTCGTTTATGATAATCGATTTGATCTTGGGAGAACGTTTGTCCGATATTTTTCGCAGTGTTTTTAATGTGTTTTTCTAACGTTTCTTCGCTCAAAGGTTTGAAGGGAATAATTTTCATAATAATATTTGCCTCGATAAAAATATCTTTTACCAAGATATTCGGTCAAGACTCGTATAGTTGCATCGTGATCTAGTACCCGTTTCTCTAATTCGACAACGGTAGTCGCAAAAGTATCAAAGTGCATATCATCCTTATCCAAATACACAGATCGAAAATGGAAATAAAATAGAAATAGAAATAGGAATAGAGATAGAATTAATATTAACAGGATTATAAAACATTTCAAACATGTGAAAGATTTCTTTCGACGAATTTTTATATCCGTATCTTGAATATATTCCGGTTTTTTGTTTTTTTCAGCTTTATCATACGTTATCATATATTTCGAAGCAACTTTATTAATAACCATCATTACTAACTGTGGTAATATTAGGAAAAGGAATATTAGAATTCTGCAAGCAAGTTTGGATATTACGTTCAAATATTTCCACTGTAATGATTTATCTTTAGACACTGATGTTGATGTAAATTTTTCAAGGAATTTCACAAATACCTCATCGTTCATAGCTTCCGCTTGATCGTCTGTTGGCTCAGATGCAGGTGAATCTGATGTATTATCGTGAATATCTGCCGTTAAATCCATAGATTCCTCTGCTTTCGTATTTATTATTTGACATTTATCTTGATTTTCTTTCGGTTTATTGTCACTGTCATTCTTCTGAGTGGATTCTTGCGATGATTGAGATTTTAGCTCGAGTGTGGATTTGGATGTACTCGGTTGTGCGATTTCAGTAGCGTTCGATTCCGTACCGGACGATTTCATAGGAGACGATTCTGTAGTAGACGGTTCCGTAGTAGACGATTCCGGTAAGTTTAATGTTTTGGTTTCAGATGAATAGTTACATTTTGTAACATTTGTGCCTGCATCATTGTCTACTAATACCTGGCCTCTATCGATTTTTAAAATGAAAAAACGCTTGATTAATGACATGCAATATCTTATCTTTCTTAGTTAATCGTATGTGTTAGATTTCGAATTGTTACGTTACGTTAAATAAAGACAGTTCAAACTTTTAATTATATATTAGAAATTATTTCTCTAAATTTTATTTTTAATAATTACAGTAAATGCAAATACTATTATTTATGTAAATAAATTTTTAGTTCTGCATTTTGCTATCTCAAACAATTTAATGTTGTATAAAAATTATTTTAAATGCAAGAATATTTCCCTCGAAAATTATAATTTTTGATTATATAAGAAAATAAAACGCGCATATACAGTGTTATTCTAAACAATTTTTAATAGTTCAAACAAACCCGAATTATTAAAAAAAATAAAGACAATTAAATAAAATTTTGTTTATAGATTAATATTAATCTCATTACAAATTATAATAATTATATTATTTTTTAATATTGCATAAGATGCAATATTAGTTTGAAGTAATTCTAATCGAAAAATATAATACCTAACATTATCTGTCCGACTTGGTGAACCCTGCTCGACGGATGTCTTCAATGCATCATGCTTCGATATAGAGGGCGACGGCGATTTCTCGTTAGACTTGGGGTAGTTCTCAATATCAGAAGATTCGTGCTGCTTCTCCATAATATCAGATTCTGAAGATTTGCTGCAAAAAAAACACCGATTTGTTAATAACGTAGTTACAATGATATATCCATTCTGCGAATCGAAACATAAATTTGAGAAACTATTAGTTGATGAATTTATTTGATATTTGTTTAGTCTCTCTCTCTCTCTTATAAATGAATAATGTAAAGCTTAAAAAAGAATTTGTAAAATGATATGTCAGAGTGAAACAAATGAACATATATAATAACGTTAAGACAAACCAGAATAAAACATTAAACGCTTTTTCAACTCAGCGATATAAATACATAATATAAAAACATAAACTTTCTAATTATATTAATCTTAAATTATATTTCCTAAATCTTCCAATACTTGTATGATAATCGTTGCGATTTACATTTCAAAATTATTATTATTGAAAAAGCTACATCCCAAAAAATTTGCTAAACATTGTTTTTATCTATCTTTATAATCTCGAAATATATTTTTCCCAAAAATATAAATTAATACAAAAATGGTGTTACAGAATCTGCTTTTTATACATTTTTAATATCTTTATTATTTTTACCTTTATTATATTTCTTTTTCTGAATTGCGTTTGTATATTCTTGTCACGCTCCGATTACAGACTGATATTAATTTCATTATAAATTTTAATAATAATATTAAATTTTAATATCGCGTAGTATGCGATATTAGTTTGAAATTGTTTCAATCGAAGAGTATCATACCTATCATAGTTTTTTCGATTTGATGAAGCCTGCTCGGCGGACATCTCCGGAACATCATGCTTCGGTATAGAGGGAGGCGACGATTTGTCATCTGACTCGGTGAAATTTTCGATATTCGAAGATTCGGACTGCTTCTCCACTTCAGATTGTAAAAGTTTATTACTATGAAGAAAACACCGATCTGTTAATAATATAGTTACATTGACATCTGTTTATATTTTTATATTACGTCCCTATCCATTGCGCGAATCGGTACATGTACTCGAAAAGCTTCTAGCCATTAAATTTATTTGATATTTTCTTAGTCTTACAAATAAATAATGTAAAGTTTAAGAAAAAATTTTTTTTAATGTTATGTCAGTTTGAAACAAATAAATATATGATCGCGTTAAGACAAATCAGAATAAAGCAATAAACGATTCTCAACTCAGCAATATAAAACTATAATATAAAGACATAAAATTTCCAATTATATTAACTTAAAACATTATTTTCTAAATCTTCTAATACTTGTTTGTATGATAATCGTTACGATTTACATTTTAAAATTATTATTATTGGAAAAGCTCTATCTCGAAAAATCTGCTAAACGTTGTCTTTATCTATTTTTATAATCTTGAGAAATAAATTCCTTCCAAAAATATAAATTAATTTAAAAACATTACAAAAGCTGTTTTTTTTAAATACATATTAAATATCCTTATTATTTTTGCCTTTTTTTCTGAAACGCAAATGTATATTCTTGTCTCACTCCAATTACAGATTAATATTAATTTCATTATAAATTTTAACAATAATATAAAATTTTAATATCGCGTAGTATGCGATATTAGTTTGAAATTGTTCCAATCGACGAGTATAATACCTATCATAGCCTTCTCGATTTGATGAAGCCTGCTCGGCGGACATCTCCGGATCATTATGCCTCGGTATAGAGGGAGGCGACGATTTATCATCCGACTCAGTGGAATTTTCGATATTCGAAGATTCGGGCTGCTCCTCCATAGTATCAGATTGTAAAGACTTTCTACGAAAAAAACGCCGATTTGTTAATAACATAGTTACATTGACATATGTTTATATTTTATTATGTCTATATCTATTCTGCCGAAACATGTACTCGAGTAATTTTAAGTCGATGAAGTTATTTGATATTTGTTTAGTCTCTCTCTCTCTCTTATAAATGAATAATGTAAAGCTTAAAAAAGAATTTGTAAAATGATATGTCAGAGTGAAACAAAAGATTGAGAAATAAATTCCTTCCAAAAATATAAATTAATTTAAAAACATTACAAAAGCTGTTTTTTTTAAATACATATTAAATATCCTTATTATTTTTGCCTTTTTTTCTGAAACGCAAATGTATATTCTTGTCTCACTCCAATTACAGATTAATATTAATTTCATTATAAATTTTAACAATAATATAAAATTTTAATATCGCGTAGTATGCGATATTAGTTTGAAATTGTTCCAATCGACGAGTATAATACCTATCATAGCCTTCTCGATTTGATGAAGCCTGCTCGGCGGACATCTCCGGATCATTATGCCTCGGTATAGAGGGAGGCGACGATTTATCATCCGACTCAGTGGAATTTTCGATATTCGAAGATTCGGGCTGCTCCTCCATAGTATCAGATTGTAAAGACTTTCTACGAAAAAAACGCCGATTTGTTAATAACATAGTTACATTGACATATGGTTATATTTTATTATGTCTATATCTATTCTGCCGAAACATGTACTCGAGTAATTTTAAGTCGATGAAGTTATTTGATATTTGTTTAGTCTCTCTCTCTCTCTCTTACAAATGAATAATGTAAAGCTTAAAAAAGAATTTGCAAAATGAGATGTCAGAGTGAAACAAAAGACAAACCAAACAAATTAAGCAATAAACGTTTTTTACGTCTGCTATATAAAGTTACAACCCGAGCATAAAATTTCTAATAATTTTAACTTTGAATATTTTTTTAAACTCTTTTAAGTATTTGTTAGTTTGATAATAATTGTGTTTTAAATTAAAACATTATTTTTAATGAAAAAGTTCCTATTTCCGAAATATTTGCTAAACATTGTTTTTATCTATCTTTATAATCTTGAAATATATTTTTTCCAAAAATATAAATTAATTCAAAAGCGTTACAAAATTTGTTTTTTATACATTTTTAATATCTTTATTATCTTTACCTTCTTCTTCTGAAACACAAATGTATATTCTGGTCTCGCTCCAATTACAGTTTAATATTTATTTCATTATAAATTTTAACAATAATATAAATTCTTAATATAGCGTAGTATGCAATATTATTAGTTTGAAATCGTTCCAATCGAAGAGTATAATACCTATCATAGTTTTCTCGATTTGATAAAGCCTGCTCGGCGGATATCTCCGGATCGTCATGTTTCGGTATAGAGGGAGGCGACGATTTCTCATCCGACTCAGTGGAATTTTCGATATTCGAAGATTCAGACTGCTCCTCCATAGTATCAGATCGTAAAGATTTTCTACGAAAATAACGCCGATTTGTTAATAACATAATTACATTGACATATGTTTATATTTTATTATGTTTATATCTATTCTGCCGAAACATGTATTCAAAGAACTTTAAATCGATGAATTTATTTGATATTTGTTTAGTCTCTCTCTCTCTCTCTCTCTTACAAATGAATAATGTAAAGCTTAAGAGAGAATTTGCAAAATGAGATGTTAGAGTGAAGCAGAAGACAAACCAAACAAATTAAGCAATAAACGTTTTTTAAGTATGCTATATAAAGTTACAACACGAACATAAAATTTCTAATAATTTTAAACATTTTTCTGAACTCTTTTAAATATTTGTTAGTGTGCTAATCATTGCGTTTTATATTACAATATTATTTTTAATGAAAAAGTTCCAACTTCCGAAATATTTGCTAAACATTGTTTTTATCTATCTTTATAATCTTGAAATATATTTTTCCCAAAAATGTAAATTAATCCAAAAGCGTTACAAAATCTGTTTTTTATACATTTTTAATATCTTTATTATCTTTACCTTTTTCTTCTGAAACGCAGATGTATATTCTGGTCTCGCTCCAATTACAGTTTAATATTTATTTCATTATAAATTTTAACAATAATATAAATTCTTAATATCGCGTAGTATGCGATATTAGTTTGAAATTTTTCCAATCGAAGAGTATAATACCTATCATAGTCTTCTCGATTTGATGAAGCCTGCTCGGCGGACATCTCCGGATCATCATGCCTCGGTATAGAGGAAGGCGACGATTTATCATCCGACTCATTGTCAGTGGAATTTTCGATATTCGAAGATTGGGGCTGCTCCTCCATAGTATCAGATTGTAAAGATTTTCTAGAAAAAAGACATCGATTTGTTAATAACATAGTTACATTGACATATGTTTATATTTTATTATGTCTATATCTATTTTGCCGAAATATGTATTCGAGAAACTTTAAGTCGATGAATTTATTTAATATTTGTTTAGTCTCTCTCTCTCTTGCAAATGAATAATGTAGAGCTTAAAAGAGAATTTGCAAAATGAGATGTTAGAGTGAAGCAGAAGACAAACTAAACAAATTAAGCAATAAACGTTTTTTAAGTATGCTATATAATGTCACAAACATAAAATTTCTAATAATTTTAAACATTTTTTTGAACTCTTTTAAATATTTGTTAGTGTGCTAATCATTGCGTTTTATATTACAATATTATTTTTAATGAAAAAGTTCCAACTTCCGAAATATTTGCTAAACATTGTTTTTATCTATCTTTACAGTCTTGAAATTTATTTTTCCCAAAAATATAAATTAATCCAAAAGCGTTACAAAATCTGTTTTTTCTTATACATTATTAATATTTTTATTATCTTTACCTTCTTCTTCTGAAACGCAAATGTATATTCTGGTCTCGCTCCAATTACAGATTAATATTTATTTCATTACAAATTTTAACAATAATATAAATTGTATTGCGTAGTATGCGATATTAGTTTGAAATTGTTCTAATCGAAGAGTATAATACCTATCATAGTCTTCTCGATTTGATGAAGCCTGCTCGGCGGACATCTCCGGATCATCATGCTTCGGTATAGAGGCAGGCGACGATTTCTCATCCGACTCAGTGGAATTTTCGATATTCGAAGATTCAGACTGCTCCTCCATAGTATCAGATCGTAAAGATTTTCTACGAAAATAACGCCGATTTGTTAATAACATAATTACATAATTTTTCCAATCGAAGAGTACAATACCTATCATAGTCTTCTCGATTTGATGAAGCCTGCTCGGCGAACATCTCCGGATCATCATGCCTCGGTATAGAGGAAGGCGACGATTTCTCATCCGACTCATTGTCAGTGGAATTTTCGATATGCGAAGATTTGGGCTGCTCCTCCATAGTATCAGATTGTAAAGATTTTCTAGAAAAAAAACATCGATTTGTTAATAACATAGTTACATTGACATATGTTTATATTTTATTATGTCTATATCTATTTTGCCGAAATATGTATTCGAGAAACTTTAAGTCGATGAATTTATTTAATATTTGTTTAGTCTCTCTCTCTCTTGCAAATGAATAATGTAGAGCTTAAAAGAGAATTTGCAAAATGAGATGTTAGAGTGAAGCAATAGACAAACTAAACAAATTAAGCAATAAACGTTTTTTAAGTATGCTATATAAAGTCACAACACGAACATAAAATTTCTAATAATTTTAAACATTTTTCTGAACTCTTTTAAATATTTGTTAGTGTGCTAATTATTGGAGTGAAACAAGAGACAAACCAAACAAATTAAGCAATAAACGTTTTTTAAGTCTGCTATATAAAGTTACAACACGAACATAAAATTTCTAATAATTTTAACTTTAAACATTTTTCTAAACTCTTTTAAATATTTGTTAGTGTAATAATAATTGCGTTTTATATTACAATATTATTTTTAATGGAAAAGTTCCAACCTCCGAAATATTTGCTAAACATTGTTTTTATCTATTTCTGTGATCTTAAAAATATATATTTTTTTTTAAATATAAATTAATCCAAAAATGTTACAATATCTGTTTTTTCTCATTCATTATTAATATCTTTGTTATCTTTATTTTCTTTACCTGAAGTGCGGCTGTATGCTCTTGTCGTCTCGATTACAGACGATGCAAATATGTATGAAATCACAAGTCGTTAAGAATTGTTATCCGGTCTTGCAAATACAATAGGAAAGGGAGAGTTTGAAACTATACCAGCAGTCTAATTAGAATGTAACTGCCACAATATATACATCGAGAAACACGTCAAGTGTCCTCGACACTCATGAAACAAATTTAACGAAAATATATGCGTTATTTACTGTTTTTCTTTTATTTTTTTTACCGTGTTTCGATTCTCTGCCATGTTGACAACATATTAGGTCAAATTGGCCGACAGTCTGGATTCACTCGTTCCTTCTTTATACAGAACTATCATTTGATTTTGATGTTTCTAATTTTTAAGAGACAGTCTCTACTTCTACTCGAATATCTATCAGCAAGAATAAAAAGCTTTAAATGCAACGCAATTTTAATGCTAAAATTCAATTACTTTTATTTTACGTGTAAACTTTTATTTGAAAAAACATATATTTAAAATAAATACTATTATCTTATTGTCCAAATTTTTTAAAAAAATTTATAATATTTAATATATTATAATATTTAAAAATTGAAAGATATTTTGTGATTTATGCCGCGTCGTATGATACATGATGGCTTTATCATAATATCGTAACAGAAGCGCGTTTTTTCGTAGATGTTGAAAAACGTATCTGCAATAATAATTAGAAAGTGAGTGACGTAATAATTTATATAGAAAATTTTCGCGAAATATGTATATTTTAATATTATTTAATATTTATGTAGTATTTGTAGTTATTTGATTGCGGCGCAATTCTATTTCCTATGCTGTGAAATTTCAAGCACTTAGAAAATGCTTTCTACATCAGCGACTGCAAATTTGCATTCATATTGTTCAAGCATTTTTAGATATAGATAGATATATAGTCAGTCGCTTTTGTTATAATTTTTTTTTAGCGTTATTCAAACAAATAGTATTGATTATATAGTTTATTATTTAAATATTTGAAATTTCGTATAACTTTTTTAAACTTCTTTTAAATGACTAATGCTATGAATTACCTTGTTTTTACTCGCAAGGTTTTATTTAAAGAGGAAGATATCTCTTTAAAAAGAATATTATTATCTTATCTCACAATTAACATCTTGTTTTAGACACACACATAGTTATTTATTTGTAAATATATAAAAAGTACAAATACAAAGTGGCAACATCATAATTTAATTTTTATCCATAATCTAAAATTTCTTACTATGTTTAATAATTGGTATTACACACATTACATGTAAAAAAATAAAAAAGGTTAAGCAAAATATAGTTTTTAAAAATATAACTCACAAGTTCAATGAGCTTTAAAAGAATTCGTAATCTAGAGCCAGAATGTATATGATAGTTAATACATATTAATACATACACACTTTTTCTTTTATAATCTATTCAGATTATATTCAATTTACCGGATTTATAGTTTATTCTGAGTTATTTCAAGACATCTCACACTTGTCAGATTTTTCTTAATTTTTACTTAACACACATTCTAATCTACAACATTAATTATTTATATATTTAAAAAAAACACGTCTTTTACAAATCAAAATCTATAGTTTTAGAATTAATAAAAGAATACGAAATATTTTTTTGCAAGCGTATTTTGCATAAGAACTATCGATGTAGTAGCAACGTAGCATAGCGTAACACGTAATGTTTGAACGTGTCATTACAAAGATTTATACATATTCAATGACCATGATTGCTCGCTTATAAATCGTCGTAAATTCAAGTAATAACAAAAAGAAAGTTAGCGAAGTCAGAGATATTACATATACTCGGAGTCCTAATCAATGTAAATTCGCTTAACCGTGCGTAACAGCTGATTACGCGTTTCATCGGACATATACTAAACGACACACATTACACATCATCTCCTGCAAAAACCACGTTTTTGCACCTTTTTAATCCGGAAGTAATGCGTAAAAAAATGTTATCATCCGTTCAGAACAACGGACCATCATCTCCTGCAAAAACCACGTTTTTGCACCTTTTTAATCCGAAAGTAATGCGTAAAAAAATGTTATCATCCGTTCAGAACAACGGACCGTGATTATGAATTACATATAAGTTGACTTTTATCAAAATTAAAAGTCGCATACTTTTTCATTGATTATGTCAAAATTATATTTTGACACTAAAATAATATACGCATATAAACAATGCGGGAGGAAATCGATATATCTATAAAGCTTAAAAAATATTTTCGCTTATGTATATAATAGAAACTACCTGCAATCTTAAGATTATCGCAAGATGTTACAATCGAGAATATATACGGAGAAAAAAAAATACACATTATTTAATAGAATACTGTGTAGGCGTGATACAATAACTTTATCAGTCTTGTCGCTTTGGAATAAATACATATTTCTAGTATAATCTTTTTATTGTTCATCAATTATGTGAATAGGTTTTATATAGACTCTTTAGCGTATCGACATTACTTTCTAACAAATCTCGTTTAATAGGATTACTCTGTTTATTGGATAACATTAATCCGGCTAATTATACACTAAATCGTCTTCACTCAAATATTTGTAGGAAATAATTAATAATATTTGCGTCAACCAAATCAATATTTTACATTGCATTTTTTTCTGTCGCTTGGTCTTTTTTAAATTCTCTGTTATAATAAAACAGAAAAAAATCCACTTTTTTCAAGTAACTTAATTTTTTTGCATAATTTTCTGCGTGTATGATTTGTCGACATTTTAGCACCAATGAGAACTATTATTTTAAATCTGCTGAAGATATTCTATCAAGGCTTGTTCTTGGTCGAGAATCTGTTTCTCTAATACGATAAGAGCAATTGCAAAAGTTAAATTTATGATTTTGATCTTAATACAAGAATACAAATAAAATTTCAAATGAATTTATAATATAAAATAAAAATACCGACAATAATAAAAGTAATAAAATTAACAGTCAAGAGATAAAATTGTTGCAATTCGAAAAAGGACAAAATTTTCGAAATACTCTGTTCTCTTCTCAGTTCTTTTCTATCATATTCGACTTGTCTCATTTTACACAGACATTCCAGAATGAACAGACGGAATGCTTTCTCCGTAAATTGATAAGTTTTCGGTTTATTATCAGGTTTGTTTATATTACAGTATTTTGTAATATCTACAGTATTTATATTAGAGTATTCTTTCTCGAGCATATGTTCTATGAGAACTTGTTTTGCAATGTTCGCGTTTGCCTCGGAGGATTGGGATTTCAGATTAGTGTCAGATCTTAATGCACTTGTTTCCTTGCTCGTAACAACTTCACGATTCCCTTCGATCAGATTCAGAGAGATTGCGGAAATCAATTTTTGTAAGTCCTCATAATCTCTAATATCCTCGTTTGTCTTTAAGGATTGAGACTTCAGATTATTGTCAGATTTTGATGCACTTGTTTGCTTGCTCGTATTAACGTTACGATCCGACATGATCATACGGCGATTCTTAAAGATTCGGGAAATCAATTTTTTTAAGTCCTTTTCTTCAAATTCCATAAATTCATCTACTTTTACATTATTTGCTTGATCGTCTGCAGACATAAATGGTTTCTTATCTTCAATACATTTTGCTGAATCTATGAATATGAATGTTGCAATATCGTCATCCTTCGATGCGGATTCTATAGGTGGGGATGACATAGTATTGTCTCCCGTTGAGTTCACGGAGATTATTGTATCGTGGGTATCTTTCATTAAATTCGTGGACGTGACTGTAAAATCCGTGAATATAGATAAAGTCCTATTGTCGATATCCCCTGTTAAATCCGTAAAATTCTCCTATTTTTATATATATTCTTACCTGTTTGTCTGTAAGAGTAAGTACGGATATGGATCCCGTTGTTGATATTTAGGCTCCGAAATTGTTAAGTCGCAATTGTAATACTTTCTTGAGCTTATCGATTTCTGTTTGCAATTTCCATAAGCTTATGTAATCCTCGAATCTACAAATAAAAAGATAATTGATTAATGTTATTTGATATATTATATTTTAAATAATCGCACGTTTCAATATTTGGTTCATCATGTTACGTTAAAAAATGAATGCATTACATTTAAATATATTTAAATATCTGTAAAAAATATTTTTATATTATATTGTTGATGCTAATAATAAATGAAAATACTATGATTAATATTAATAAATTTATGCATTTTGTTTCACAATTCTATTCCAATTAATTGTGGCTTGCATAAAAATTGTTATATTGCAGAGATATTAGCTTGAAAATTATAATTTTTAATTTTACGAGAAAATGAGATATACAAATACAGAATTATTCCAAACTTTTTAATTATTAGCGCAAATTATTAAAAAACATAAGGACGAGCAAATAAATTTTGTTAATAGAATTATTAAATTTTATTTTGCAATATAAAGATCGCAATAATTTTTATCGAAAAGTTTATAAACTATCTATATAATGAATGCTTCCATTCAATATCCGTAGTTACTGGCTGCTTGTAAGTAAATTGCTAAATGTAAATTTTTGCAAATATTTTCAATTTGCTTTGTGAATGGAAGGCTAAACATCTACAATGATCTCTTGTTCAATTCCGAGACATTATAAATTCAAAGTCACAAATTGTTTCTTCGTAATACATTGAACAGGATCTAAAAAATATCTTTTGCGAAAAAAAATTTTTTAGATCTTGTTAATAACAATTCTTATTGCAAAAGGTGCAATAAAATGTGCAATAAAGCATGTATTTGAGAAACTTTTAACCGAAGAAATTATTTGATATTTGTTTATTTCTATTGCAAATAATTATTATAAAGGTTAGCAAAAATCTTTAAAAATTGGAATGTCAATGAGAGAAATAAATATATAATTGTATTAATTTCTTAATAATCTTTTATAAACATTTATTTGTGTAACAATCGTTGCATTTTATGTTTTATAATTATTATTGATCAAAAAATTTATCTTTAGTTCTGCTATAAATTTTTACTCATTTTTATTTTTGAATTAAGTTTTTAGAAATATAAACTAAGTCAAAAGCGTTAGAAGATCTGCTTGTTTCTATACGTCTTATGCTAGTACTAAATTGTGCGCGTATTCGTAATTTGTTTATAATTCATGAATAGTATGGATGGATGATCCGTTAATTTCAATCAATCAGCTTTCTTTATCT